ACTCGAATTCTTCATTTTATTTGAGTGAGATGGAAGTGGTTACACTGGTTCCCGTAGCACATTTGAATTGAGAGATTCGGAACCAGCGCAGAGCTTCATAATGTGTACAGCACGCAATGGCCAACTGAGCTAGCCTGATTTTTAAACATGGCGATCAGCCAAGTCATACGCAAAAGGCTCTATTTGTTATTGCGAAGAGTCTTCTTAATTATACACCTAAAAAACTACAGGACACTAGGCTAAATTTATCTAAGTCCTATAAAATCCTTTAAAATAATGCAGAATCTGGAAGACTTTTATTTATTCGCGTTGGATTAGTTCAAAATAGGTAAACGAGTAAAGGTAGACTGGTTCCCAGTCTACTGAATACTTATGTAACGCACAGGTAGGCACCAGACTATTCCTCATTTGCATACGTGTTCGAAATTTTGAACATGCAAATGATCCAATACCAGAGTGACTAGAACAGGTAGTGGTGGGCGCGTACTGCTCAACACCCTGGGGACGAGGTTTAGTCTACGAATAAATGTTACCAAGCAGATATATCTTGTGGAGAAAAAGGACAAATTCTTGTTCGTCCCAAGCGTGAAGCTCAAAGGTCAAACCGCTCCACATTTGTTAAATGCTCTTCAAAGTGACGGTTAAAGGTACTAAATTCCCGCAGCTAAGTTTCTGCCGAGTTTAAAGACAAATAACACAATGTATGGAGAGAAAACAAGAGACACTATTTCGGGCTTATACAGGTTGGTCATTATACGCGAATGGGTTGTTTTCTGAGAAAGCAAATTTGAGCGCAAGTTTAATCCAAGCTGGATACAGTACGTGCTTCATTTTCGCTGTACCAGTGTGGCCTCCCTTATGGGTAAGCCTATATAATTATATTCAGTAGGCCTCCTGTTCCGAAGATCAGAATTATATAGAAAATCTGAATTACCGTCGCTCGATGGTAAGTAGCCGTCATTCAGAGCAGCAATTCGGCCAAAGCTGTTGATTGGTCAATAGATGCCATGTGTTTCTCATACAATACCGGGTGACCGAAGACCCGATTTAAGGTGCCCGCTGAATGGTCAGAATCAGGTGGTCAAGACGCAGTGTTGTTCTGCATAGCCTGCACGTATATCAAGCATCTAGTCTCTGTACTAATGACGTCACACTTTGTTTACGTGTGTGCTTTCTTATGGTGCTCAGTGGACCGCTGGCCCCACTGGTTCCATATAGGAAAGTGCACACATGTAAACAAAGTGTGACGTCATTGGTACTGAGGTTTTTCCATGAACTAAATAATTAACTCATTTCTTTATTTTTCCCGCCAACGTGTGAACGCTCCAATGGCGTATGTCAACACTGACACATGGCTGGCTGATTAAACCTCGTACATGCAGTGTGACGGAAAAGTGCGGCGCGCGACTTTCGGGTGTAAAATTCTCATTATTCCAATTGCCAGTCGAGCGAGCAGTTAAAGAGGGTCTCAGGGGAAATTATATACCGTGTATATACCGTGCACAGGTTGAATAGAGCATGCAGTTTTGAAAAGAGGAGAATATCTCAATAGAATAGGGTACAACTAAAAAATGCAGTTATAGGCATAGGGACATTCTTTAATACCAGGCGAAATATGATCATCATATTGAACATTTAATAATTAAAAAAAAATGTTAATACCTAAAATATTTCGAATGATATCGACCTTGAATATTTTTTTGTAAAGATTATATATATAATTTTAAAATCTGTTCTCATCCCGAATACAACCGCAATCCGACAAGCCTCCACAATGTAGGTCTTTGTCATGATGAACGATATTCCCCGAGAATTTCTCAACCCCCTTAAAAGTCCTATGAAAATAAGGTATGAAGACACTGTAATAATAGTCCTTCCCAAGGCAGACAATACAATGAAAACACGCCAAGCCTGCAGCTCTTTGTACAAAGTATGTTACCAAATGGATATCCAGAAATTATGTGTCGAAAATTAGGGTACGTTAGAGGCCTACACATTATAGCTGCACTTCTTGATATCGTTGCTTGTTTTGGGTTGAACGACATCGGCCTGCAGAGAAACACGCTGTCCCTTCCATTTACCGTCAAACGCCTCAGCGACCTCTGATTGGTTGGAATGGGTCACGAGGGGCCGATTAGATGATACCGAACTCAGGCGGGGATAGCGAGCCATTAAACCGGAATGGGAAATTGGCCTGAATGGAATGAAGAGGGATCGCTTGATTGTCTTGGGCAATTCTTCTTGTATATTTATGATGCTTTTACGTCTGGCCAGACGACAAGGCTTTCATTGGTAGGGCTGATATAGATGCATCAACCCAATTTCGCTCAGTTCGATTATACTCTTTTCCTTTTTCGTCTTGTTTTAAAGGCATATATGGCCATTTGTACGTATCCCAAGAATAACCTACCGAATTATTATCATAAGCTTGCTTGGATTAAAGATCGCACTGGTACTAAATACCCCGTGAAATTATCCAGTCTGGCTTGCTGTCGTTTAGAAGAAATCAAGAAATGTAGGTGATTTCCAACGATCAGTCAATTTCATGATTTTCGGAATTACAGAATGCTATGGATGAAATCGTGTTTCGTGATAAAAAAAAAAAATGTGTGCATGGTTTATCACTATTTTGTCGAAGAGTGTAAAATATTCGTCGAGCTGAAACATCAAAACGGGATATTCACGGCCATTTCGTGGCACAACAGCCAAACTCGGAATTTTCGACTTTTAAAGATTTTATCACTTCTGAGGTTATTGAGGGCACTCTGTTCATTTCTGAAAGGTTCAATGGGGGCCAGTTCCCTTCTTTGATGTTTTTTTATTTCCGATAGGTTTGTAAACTAAACTAACGAAATGTACAATAAAGTGTATAATAAGCCAGCCCCTAAATGTCAGTGCGATACAGAACAACGACCCACGCGATGAAAAAAAAAAATCCGTTCATGAGGAAAGATGATTTTATTGCAGCCGCGCGGTTTACGCGATACGTGCACACACCTGTCGGTTGGATTCGCTGCATTCTGATTGGATAACCACGCGTGCGGCTTTGCAACCTGCAGCTGTCCATAATTGTATTGCATTAAAGCAAAACACAAGCTTCGTAAAGTCCTACCTTAAATTTCAACGGCAATTCACCATACGCAATTTGGGTATAGTCATTTGCTTTCACTTTAATCTATACTCGGACATCCATATGCGCTCATTCAAATTATGCAGAGTTATATACAGGGTGAGTAAAAAAATAAGAGTGACAACGTTACAAGAAAAAAAAAAAAATTAAAACTTGAAATGACAAATGGATCTGTCACTCATAAACAGATACAAGCAAAAGTTGATTACAATCCAATCACCTTTTTTTTCATTTAGTGTACTCCTATATTTGTCGGAGTAAAACAAAACAGTCGTCTATAATAATGCATGTCATGCTCACTGATCTCTATTATACTGACTGGATAACGCTTCGACCTATGCGTGTACACAAGACCGTGACGCCCTCGCACACACGCGGCGGCCATTTTGAAACTCCCTCAAAAGCCCACAACGCACGGATCCGCATACAAAAAGTACAAAATTACGATAGTTTAGGAAGCAATTTTGGATCATCGAACACGTTTTTTTGGATTAATTTTGCCCACAGAAATGTTTTAATCATTTTAATATTTGTTCAAATATATTATTTTATTTCGTGACTTTGAATATATTTTTACGTGGCCAAAGGGAGTGTCAAAATGGCGTCCAGTGACTTCACCCACCCCCACGGCCCGAAGCGCTTTCCAGTCAGTATAAAAGAGATCAGTGGGCATGCTGCGCTTTTGGAAAATTACGACACGTCTGGTGCCTACACTCGACTGGTTACGGTTCGGTGATTTATAGATCAAACAGGGTGCATGACCGTAAGCCAAGTACCAGCACGAAACGCTGTCTGGTGGAACCAAACTGGTACCCGGTCGGGTAGCTCTGTGCTTCAACTTGAATTCATGGTTTCTATTGACACTGTCGATTGTTCTTCGTATGTCAAAGAATGTCATTTGAGCCACAAACAGGCTCAAGTTAATCGTAGTGGATGAAGACTACATAAGGACAGTCATATTCATTTACAGTCGCCATCGTTACTCTGAAATTTGCAGGCTGCAGAATTGTGGAAGAGGTGTGCAGGTGTCGCCTACTTCCGGGTCCGCAAAAGTACGTAGGCCTATGTATACATCTTAGAATATCCAGCTCTAAGGCTCATGGCATTGGAGATTCACCATTAGAGCAATAAAATTCAGTAATTTGTTTTCTCACATGAGTGGAAGAACGTGCTCGTTTAATTAATACATGCTTCATTCGTGTGTCAAATTTAATAAGGGAATAACTTGTGCTTGGCATGTCCAAACTTCATGTGATACTGGAAAAAGTGATTAAGAGCAGCCAGCCGGTTTTGATCACCCATTTAAAACCGGCCACGTGACGTGCTCTTGGCCAATAGGGATGGGTAAACTGTCTTAGGTATTTATGAATTGCTTTAATCATTCATCCAAGTCACTTTCTTGACTCACCCTGTTCCTATAGAGCTTATAATAGCAAGACGATATTTGATTCAGTGTCCACGATATGCTCCAGGCCAAATTCGGTTCAGCCCTTCCCAGAGAATTGCTAGGAAAAGATTTGGAGAAAAAAAAAGAGGAAACCCTCGAAACATGTAATTTCCGCGCGTCCCTTTTAGTGGTCAGCTCATTTCGAACGAAGGGACACTGGAGTAAAAGGAATTGAAACTGAATCTTTTTAAGAATTAAACAACAAAAACTACTGAAAAGACTCTACAAAATAGGTCTTTTTATTTTACGAGTCCAGACGTGTGAAAATAAATGGACTGTATTATTTCCCGTCGCTCTAGCTTGTCAAACCCAGAAGTGCAATCGTTATCCGAGACTTCACTTACGGCCGAGTGGCGTTTCACGAGTCAGCCGTGTGTCCGGTACGTCGTTGAAAAACCCCATCATCAGGTGAAACACGATAAGCGAGAACACATCACGCGGAATAATTCATACGGCGGGATCTCCGAGTCACTCCTACCCCCACTCCGCCCGTTTAGGCAGCTCTCCCATAGGGCATTGCCTCCAGTGACCGTAAGGAAAACGGGAGCGTCTCAGATCCCCTTCGACTAAAGACATTTTTATCAGCCGGGCGTCAAACCATTCGAATCGGTCAAAAACAGAAAAAAAGAGGGGGACGCAAGGTCGTCTTGTATAGGTGTTACATTTTTATTCCCTGTCAGCCGATCTGAAATCAGTGGCTCCGTTTTGATGAAGGAGAGCGCATTTGCCCGTTCTCAACTTACAGATTCTTCGTCATTGTTCGCTTAGATTTGCTCGGCAGTCCTTCCCGCGTCGGCGTGGCGCTGAAGAAGATATTGCCAATTTGGGCCAGCAATTGAAAAAAATGACTGGATGATATTGGGACGTCACTGCAAGGAACAGGCGGAGTGACGCAGCAGTGGCAACAGCAAGTTATTGCCATCTTCATATTGACTCCTGTACGGCGAACGATGAGGATATCGGACCTCACGCGGCGTTGTGCGGCGGCGTGCAGAGGGGAAGCGCGCCAACTGTTCCCGCTCGTGCTGGCTGCTCTAGTGGTCATCCGGAGCGCTGGACTTGCCAATTCCAAGGAACAACCAGGAGACACCGGGGAGAAATTGACTCTTTTTCAGCTTGATCCCGTCGAGGTAAGTGGACACACCTGCTGTTTCCAATTTCTAGATGTTTATCGATCAAATCGTCCCAATTCGAATTGAAATTACTACAGGCAAACAGAATGTGAACTTAATTCGGACGTTCTGCGGTGAAATTTTCCACGTGTCTAAAATAGATAACGGGAATAGGCCTATTCATTTTGCGATTTTGGAAATCGTTATGATAGATGCGATTGGGTTGCCATACCACTCTTGTAAGTTCAAATCTGTTTCGGTTAAAAGATTGTTATGGTTGGCATGCGTCACATTTGCGATTGTCAAGTATAAAGCTTTTGGATTTGTAGGCCTGTATGAATTTACTATGATTAGGGTGAAACCTAGCTTATAATCTACAATATTCTTGCTTTGTGCAAAGTGGACGTTTTATGTTTTTGAATTCACATCCTCTATATTACCTCTGGAGAACACTCGGCTTTGCTCGCGTATTACAAGTTTTGGAACGCCGGTTGAATTCAAATCGGCCGGACCATACATTTCAAAAATCGCTGTGTAAATTAATACCATTATGAAGTCCATCAGTATGCCTATGCACGTAGTGGTTTTTATGTATACGCTTTTACAGTACATGAAACCTATATGAAAAATGAAACACCACATGTTCTCTATCAGTGGCACAAATGACAATAAATTACATTGTGCTATCGAGCGAAGCTCTTTTATTATGAAGAGGGGACATTGTTATTCTTTGGTAGGGAACATAATTATCAACGACCTCTAGAGGGGGTACGCAGATTGATAACAATAATTACGTGGTTTGGTAGCCTATGACTTCAATATTTGCGGTCCTCATTTCTATCCTACGTCATGGTTGAGTGTATTGGTCTCCAGGGTGTGTCCCTGTGTATTAAAGTCTCCACAAAATGAACATTTTCATTACTTGATATTTCACAATTATCTCAAGTTTGTAAACGAAATATTATATTTCCCCTCTTTACTATTAAAGAGGCATATAATACAGACTATTTCACAGTTAGCTTTGGTTTCTCGACCTATACCATTTAATACATTAGGACTATTTTGGCTTGACATTATAACCTAGATAATAAAGGATAAATTATCGAGTTGTTTGTAACATTTTGTCCCCGCGGCTTTACGTAGTCAACAGGCTGAACGTCCGACTGTGGACGAAAGCGCACACCTGCATACATATCTTGGATTGTCTTTCCTGCGCGTATACCAGAAGTACCATGAGCTGTTAAGTAGGCCTCACCTTTTTTTTCATGGAAAACGGGAGGACTTACGTCAAAAGATTATGTGCACGTGTCCTGAATATCGTGAGGTACGGTAGTGCAGCTCACCAGGGAATAGACCAGTAATCGAGTAATCCACAAGATTTGCATGAAGGAATACAATTACGTAGTTGAGGGATTATACCATAAGCCGCTTACGGGGAGAGGGCGAATCATTTAGGTTCGGTTTCAGCTATATTTGATAGCCTTGTTTTCGGAGCAGCCTGACTCTAGAGGCCTTTGCCAGATTTTTTCTTCTGAATTTAATTTATAGACTAAAAGCCAGACTTTAGTGTTTGAGCTTCAGTCCTTCCGCCCTAAGGCGCCCTTGGTAAACGGCAAGAAATCGTTAGTTTCCTCAGAGGAATGCAACAATATATCCATGCTCGGCATCAAATTACAAATTTTGGGGTCGGCGGAAAACATTTCATAGATCAATGTAGGGTCGTCTTACGGCTCGGATTTCCGATTTCGGTTCCACCGCCAATATCACCACGATTATTATTCATGAGTATGTTACCATTTTACGAAATTGGTTTCATTTCGCAAGACTATGATATTGTAATAGACCTTTTCCCAAAGAATAGAAATGCACACAGTGATTTTGGTATAACATGAGTTCGTGTGTTTGCAAACGGCTTTGTTTGCAGACGAACGACATGCGTGCGTTTTTTATTCTTCCCTAATTTTTCTCTTAACTTCATGTATTACATCCTTAATGATAATTCGAAGTTGACAAAAAAGTCTTATTTCGGTTTAAAAGTAGGAGTGTCCTGTCTGTCTAAGTTCAGTGGGATTAGAGTAGTTATATACTTTTCGTGTCATAATGGTGTAACATCTCCATGATTTTTGTGGCAAGATGCGTAAGTACGCGAGTTTTACATCATCCATTTGCCGTAAAAAATGTATAAATGAGCTATAAAGCACAACAGTGCAATAATGGCACTTTTACCCATTTTGGTCTCATAGTCAACAGTTATAAATAGGTAATGAATAATGTTTTAAGAAACTTCGTCTTATTGCCTTGTGGAGTAATGGTGAATGGATTGAGGTCATTCCACTTGTTAATAAGGCCCAGAAAAATATCGTGTTCTATTGCATGAGACAAAATAGGATGGGTGTGTGGGTAAAATCTTTTTATTTTGCTCTATCAATTTGTATAGTCAGAAAAATAGGGTTGGATAATTCGATGGTCGATTTTGTTTTTAGGTATTTGTCATACCTGTGATTTAACTGTTCATTCTGTCGTTGCTGCGCTGTACAAAGGCTTCGCTGCACGCTGCAGCGTGTCCACACTGCCGACCTACATATAAAAAATAAAATAAAATAAAAAAAAAGATAGGACGATGTCTTGAGTAAAAAGATTGAGTTTTGCATGATTTTCTAGGTTGAGTAGGTTTTTGTCTTGGCCTATGCACTTCGGCAAAAGGTCTCTAGACACGGAACCATAATTTGTTCAACGACGGTGTCTCTTTCATACTTCCTCGTTCATGTTATTTTTTTTTAAATTAAAGACAAGCTAAAGGCATTTAGAATCCTTTGCTTTCATGCTTTTTGCTCGTTTCCAATAATAACAGCACTCAAAATCCAGAGAAGAATGTTCAAAACCTAACCTGATGAAGTTTCAGCTCAGAGGATATTACACTTTTCGAGAAAACAGTGAAAAATCTTGCAAAACCTTTATTTTTCACGAAAAACGAATTCGTCAATAGCACTCTTTAGTTCCAAAACAAATCAGACTCATCGTTGGAGACCACATTTCTTGATTTATTCCGAAAAGAATCCGAATGATAGCAAGCCAGACGGAATAAATTCACGGGATGTTTAGTACCACTACGATCTTTAAATCCAAGTAAGTTTTAAAAAATAATAATTCGGTAGGCTACTTTTAGGATAAATGCAAATTACTGATCCTTTAACGAACCGCTGTTGTGCACTTTGCATTTAGACAACGCTCGAGTCCGAAAGGCTCAGGGCGCGTGACGTGCGGCTTCCTAACGATTGAAAGCACTATAGATGATCCGTCGAGAATAAAACCATCGTATGAAAAGATTTTTTGCCAAAATCTTCCGTATCGTATTGCTGTCATACCTCTCATAAAAACCATCAGCAGCTCCTCCAGACAGATCCGTTCTGTAATTGATTTCGCATGAGCACCTGTACTTTACGGCGATAACTGCTGATCCTTCCAACTGTAGATATGTACTTTGTATGGATAAGTAAAGCCAGACTCCATATTGTATGAGGGGCTCGTTCTTCCACGATCTTCTACACTGAAAACATTTCCTTGTATAACAAAAGAAAACAACAAAAAAGTTTCTTTTCATGTCTCCCCCCCCCCCAAGTTTTTAACCACAGTGCATCATTTCCCACAGCTTAATTGTGTACGTAAAATTACTGTTTTATTACCGGAAAATGTGTTAAATCTACTCGAACTTCTGAAATGAAGCTTTTGTTTGTTTGTTTACGGTACTGTTTGTTAGCACTTTTGCACAGGATGATCCTGCCCTCCCGTTTGCCAATATGTACTGTAAAAGCATGCGAGGTTTTAGTTAGTTTTTTTTAAGTGTAGATGGTTATCATCAAATGGGAGTGTTGGTTTGTACTTACGGACTTATCACCTCACACGAATGTTTATGGATGTCATAGACAAACTCATTAATGTTTGATCTCATCAGTATACGTGTTGAAGTCTAGTGTATAAGAATATGAGGAACATTGCTCATAGACCGTTTGCACTGTGGCCATGTTTGGGATGTGTACTTTTGTTCAACAGGGACACGCATGAGACCATTTGTGCATTAATGATTTAATATAACAAAAACACACTTCCAAGATGGCCATTGAAAGCAATCGATCTATTGTAAGACCAAGATAACGTCATACACAGATTAATTTTAAGCTTTAGAAAACTCAAATTTCAATTCGAGCTTAGGTCTCAGTTCGCATCATTTTGGAAGTTATTTCAACTTAATGAAGGGTCATGTAGATCTTAATTAGATAGATTCATCATTGACGGAACAGTATGATTCACCGTTTAATATTTCATAATGAAATACGCAATTAGATCACTGTAAGTCATCATGATATAAATCATTCTCCGTGCTATCAGTTATGTTGGATTTAGAAACCCTGTCAATTTGGACTTAGGTCTGAGTTCACATCAATTTTTGAAGTTATTTCAACTTAATGAAGGTTTTATATGTAAGGCTATGTAGATCTTAACTAGATAGATTGATCATTGACGGAACAGCATGATTCACCGTTTAATATTTCATAATGAAATACGCAATTAGATCACTGTAAGTCATCATGATATAAATCATTCTCCGTGCTATCAGTTATGTTGGCTTTAGAAACCCTGTCAATTTGGACTTAAGTCTGAGTTCACATCAATTTTTGAAGTTATTTCAACTTAATGAAGGTTTAATATGTAAGGTTGTATGGATCTTAATTATATAGATTCATCATTGACGGCACACGACGATTCAACATTTTAATATTTCATAATGAAGCCCGCAATTTGATCGCTGTAAGTCATCATGATATAAATCATTCTCCGTGCTATCAGCGATGTTGGCTTTTGCAGATTATGTTTCAGCCATAACATGTAGCGACTTTTTGCGATGTCCGGCAAGATTTCTCATGAACATTTATTATCACAAGGACTGCAAATGTTTCCTTATGGGTTCACATATCCATTAGGACTAGCAAGAGTCCCTAAGGACTCGCCATTAGGGCAAT